ATTTCTGCACTCATCCTCAGCCCGAGGCCTGTCTTACATCTTCATAGAGCATTGCTCGGGGATATTGATGATCCTCTTCATTCAAAATTACACTCTCATGAGCGTTCTGGAAAACATGATGCAATCTTAAAAGATCAAATTATTTATTGATGATCAACCCCTCTATAATTTCCAAAGGCTGTAGCCAAAGATGCCAGATTTAGCAGGGTTCATTTTAGCTGCACACTGATTTGAGCTTAGGGGAAGCTCCTGTTCTGCGAGCTTGTGGTCACTGCTTCTGAGATAGCATGTGTACAGTACTTACAGTGGGGGATGGGCTGAGCGGGGGTTGATGCATGCAGCATAATAACCCTCAGCACTCGAGCGGCAGAGTGAAGGGTGGGTCTTCAATGGAAAGAGCACTGCAGTCCCAGGATGAGGGTTAATGGTGTGTTCTATTTACCTCGGAGGTCGGAGCTGGGAACGACGTCACATCCGAGTTGACGGCGTTCCAGTTAACAAGTCGGAAAAACCTCGCTCGGTCAGCCATTGTTTACAACTAGCCAGGTTAGCCGTTGTTACGCCATTGTTTTAAAAAAAAAACAACAAAAAAAACAAATTTGGCGGTATTTCCACATCTAAACACAGTGACAACACGTCCACATACAGCAGTTGGACAGCACTTTGTGTACAAAAATTTATGAGACACAAGTACACAAAAGTGCTAATAAACAGTATAAGCTACAGCTTTCACTAACTGATGGTGGCCAGCATGTGGAAGTAGAGGTCCATAGACAATGTTACAGGACTTTGCAGGGTGAAGAACATACTTCTGGAACCATGTAGAGATGTGAGCGAACAGCGGTGAAGGTGTTTAAAGTACTTTTGGAACCAGCGGCTCTGCTCACGTCACCTCTGTCTCAATGTTGTATTCTCCTACTATCACTTAAGGTATGCCATTGAATAGCACAATAGCATTATCGACAGTCATATAGCGCTTTGAGCATTGACACTAGAAAATTATGTTAATAGTATGAGTGGTGAACTAGAATTTCTGAGAATGTTTTAAATCACATTATGTCTGAACAAGGACTCTGTCGTAGACTTGAACAGCAAAATAATGAGGGGATTGCTCAGTGATTTTGTGCATAGGTTGATAATGAAAAATGACCTGCAAAGCACTGGCAACAAGCAGTAAAGAGGCATTTTTTTTATCACCCATTGTGTTCAATTCACAGTGGGATACTGCAGGTAAAGGTTAGGATTTAGGGAGGTAAAACTGATCTGTGGGAGGTTTTTTTTTCTCAGAGTTGGTGAGAAGGGCAAGGTTGTCACACACTCCAGTTCTTTCCTCTCTTCCTGTGTCTGATTGGCTAGAGATCTAGGTCAGAAGGCTTAAGGCCAGTTCATGGATTCTGCGTAGCTGAGTGACATAAATTTTGTCATCTGCCCAAGTCCACAAGGATCCGTGTGGGCCTCTGTGCGGACCTCTGCATACCGCATACAACCAATGGTAGTATGCATAGCAGTGGGTCTGCTGTCTGAACAGTCCATCTAAGGTGGATTTTGGCAAAGTTATTCTGTGGGGGGGAATAGAAAGTTTCGTGTCAAGGTTTGTGGCTGAAGCTTAAGTCATTTATCAATTTACAATCCCAAACATAGCTGCTCACAGTTTCACAATGTTAAGATTTGCTTGCTTCTTTCTTTAAGTGATTGGTTTTGCTGTTGGTCATACTAAGTATTTGAAAGCCCCAAAGAGGAATTTCTCTCCTGTCGACAGGTTTCCTGCATGAAAAAGCTTGGTTGAAAGCCAGTCTCTTGCAGAGACTACCTAAGTGTACAACAGGTTCCTCAGTTGCATAAGCATAATCGTGTAGTTGTATCTGTTAGCTTACCTTTAGCCAAGCCTGCCTCTAGACATGTTAAAATAGGTATTTAAAAATTCTGACTGAGGAATATATTGTCTTCATTAAAAACAGTTATGGGGAAAATAAACGACATTGCTGTATGAACGAAAAGAAAAGTCCATTGAACTGTCCTATTAAAACTGCACTTAAAGGATGTGGTTATGAGAACTAATAACTTTGAATTAATAGTAATAACTATACATTTTTAGTAGAGTGGGTGTGATGTCTGCTTCAGTGATGTCAGACAAACCTAACCATACTTAATTAATACTAACTAATACTAACTAATTTTTTTTATTCCCTAGTTAATGGTTAAAAGGAGAGACTTTATTTAGAATAATAATTTGTAGTTTGTAGCTAAAAGTTGCTGCTCTCATCTCCAGAACAAAGGTGATTTTATTTCATTTAAGCAAAGACTCTTGGCATGCGATTAGATTTTTCATTTCAGCATACCTCTGTGAGAATTAAGCTGTGCTTTCACTCAGCTATAAATTGCCTGAAGGAAAACCACATTATGTAGATATTTGGAGCAAATAAAAAAACAAGTCAATAAGTGCTGAAAATAGCAAAATGGTCTTGACTCATCAGTCTCCTCATATAGAGCTAGATGATTGGATGAATGACTATCTCTCTGCTACAGTTAAAAGATAAAGGCACCAACAATTCTGGATAAAAGACAAAATGTTTTAATGATCCTCAATGACATCTTGTCAATGCAATTAGGCTGTAGGTGTGTCCCCACACCCAGACCCCATTTTTTGCAATGGATGATGATTGCCAGCCTCATTAACCTGATATCTTTGTCTTGACCTTTTTTTTTTTTATTAGTTCTCTCTAAGTTTTATATAATTAGGTGTTAAGCCTGATGGCATATAATACTGAGCTCCTTTTTTTTCCTTTCTTCTAATTATCGCTTACCTATATACCCCATGCTTATTACTGTATCTGGAGGCCGATCACTATACATCAAACCAGATATGTGTAGTAGCAGCTCAATCGTGGCCTAATTCCCTCTTCAGCCTAATTTATTGGTGAATGTTCATTTAAACAGGAAATGCACCTTAAATGCTGATCATTATAGTGTTATTTCTGCATCCAAAAGTACATACTTTATAGCAACTTTAATGTAGGGCACTCAATACAGTGACATGTTTCAGTTTATTGTGCATTTTAATTGTAATAATTCTAAATTATTCACTGGTTTTGTAGAGCTTCCTTATCATTTATTCATTGCACACGCAAGCTAGCCTGAAATCGCCAGACCGATTCGCAAACTCGAATTAGTCTGGAACCTCTCAGATAATTTTCAATTTCCAAGGGGCATTATTACCAGAGGTGCAGACCAAGATGCCTCTGGATGCAATTGGACCTACAATTGACCTACAACCAATCAGAGCAACAAAACGTGTCTGATTGGCCCGACCCAGTCCAGGTAGGCTGGGAATCTGGGGGACCAGACGCATCAGCCAGACTAAATAAAACATGAGCTTGTGGATTTGTCTTTTTCCCAGGTTACATGTAGGTGGTTTGCACTTTTAAATTTAAATTGCTGGTGCTGGTCTCAAAATGTTTTTTTTTAAGAGGTTTGTGTAAAGCAAAAGAGGTTCTTTTCAACAGCCACTTTACCACACTTGGCTCTGTCAGTAGAAATGTGTTAATGTTGCCTCATAGTCATGTTTTACAGAGTGACACATTTTTAAATGCCCTAAACTGAATTCCTGAAGAGTAGTTTGATGTCATGGCGCTGCTCTGTCAAACGAAAGTGGATGACCTACTTTTCTCCTCCTGCCTCTGAAATATTTCAGAAATAGGATTGGATAGTTCCAGCTGAAGTCCTGTGCACTAACCCAGAAACAGGCTAACGCTGCAGCTATAGGCAAAGCTGGGTTTCACCACTTGCCCCCCTCCCTCTCTTCATGTTTGGCTGTTGAAAAGTGGGTGGGAATTTGTAGGGAAGCCGATCGAGGGCATTTTAACAGATGACAGCTTTTTCTGAATTCACTCTTGAGTTTACGAAGAGAGTGGATGGTAAGGGCTGATAAATTTCTGTGTTATCTGTGAAGACGTACTGTAAGTAGGACTTTTACTATGTTGTGTATTTAAATGAACAATTCAACATGTGATTTTAAATACAGTATTTTAAAAATTTTAATGCTACTAATACATATGTTTGTAGTTCTAACAACCATCATCATCTATGGGGTTTTTTTGTGACAGTGTTTTGATTCATGACCCTTTGGCTTTTTAGTGCCTTGCACATTTGGATTTATGCAGTCTCTCATTTAAGATCCAGTTCAGTTGACAGATGTTACCTCTGACCTCCTTTAGCACTTCATTTAATGTATGTAGTGGTTTTGGATCGGTTATACTTACCCTGCGGTAGTAAACACACATTGCATATTGTGTTAATGCAGGCAAAGTAGTGTGCAGCATTATGCACTATATCTTTCAAACAGCTGGGCCTGTAGGATACATCCCTCTCATCAGTAATGCACACACAATATTTCCTTTGGCTGTGTATGTGAATTAGGATGTTTTGTAAGTTACTTAACTGCGAACTGTCTTTTAGTGGACTGTGACTTTGTTTTGGGTGAATTCCTGATTTGCAGCATTGTATAGGATACTTTACTTTATCATGTAGCAGCCTTGTTTCTGGCTGTTTCTTTTTAATGTTACAAACTACAGTCACTCCCAACTCTGTAGGTGCTTTAGTTGCTTGGCAACAGGAGGATGGAGTGTATGTATTTACTGCTGAAGTAAAAACCTGGGGTGAAAGCTGATAATTTGTTTTAACAGAAGCGTATGGTTGCTTACAGGGTTGTCAAGATGAAAGAGATGAGCAAAGACAAGCCTGGGTGAATGGAAAAGATGTTATCACATGAAATGTTCGTGATGTACAGTAGATGAACAAATTATTGTGGGCCCTTGGGCAGATAAGGTTTTCTCAAACAGTGATTCATTTTGAGTATCTGTTTTGCTGCTTTTGGTTTCAGCACTGAGCCTTAATTGGGAGTAAATGTTATCAAATGTTAGGTCAAAGTGTTTGTTTATTTTGCTATTGTGTGATTTACCATTGACAACTGCATATTTATTGATTTTCATGTCTTTCTGCAGGTTTTGAGAGCATTCTCGAAGGTCTCTTTAGTCCAGAGCTGGTAGAAGACCTAAAATTATTTAAGGGTAAGAATCTCAGACTATTTTCATAAATAGTAGCCAAGATCCATACAAGTTACGGGTGTAGCGGTACACACAATTCACCATTTGGAAAGCACCTTGGTTTTGGGGTTTGGTATGTTTTCAGTAGAGAGAAAATAAATAATAATATTTTTGTTTATTATTAAAGTTTTTTGGGGGCTTTTTGTTTTCTTAAGATAAGACAGTTGAAAGACAGGAAATGTGGCAGAGAGAGGGGACAACATGCAGCAAAGGGCCACGAGTCTGACTTGAACCCTGTGCCACTGCAGCAAGGACCCAGTACACCCTATGATCCTGTTGCCGAACTGAGGAAGTTGCATACCAAACGTCCTGTACCAAAACATTTGGGAAGGATACATGTACCGTTACACCCCTAATGCATGACGTGAATGAGAATTTTGTGGTTTGAGCATAATCTGTTGTCTGCTCATTATGACAATACTGCTGCATTGTACCATCTGGCACCCCTCTACATTCACTTTACAAGACAGCCCCACTGGCTGCAGAAGAGACGATGCCTTGTGTTCCTACAAAGTTGGTGTTTTGGATGGCGTGGGGCCAGTGTGAAAGTCTACAGTGTCCTACAGACATTTTTACAATGCATGATGCTAGTGAGACAATAGTGGGCATTATTTGGGTTTTCATTACATTTGCAGTGAGAAGACTGTCGAAGTCTAAGTAGACTTTCTACAGTGGCAGTTGGAGACAATGGGTGTTGAAAATTAAGTTGAACTGAATCAGTCTACTCTTGATTCAGTCTGTCTTACTAATAAAACAAATTAAAACATTCATTATGGCCCACTCATTCATTTCGTTCATACGTTTCTGTCCTCAGGTGTCTCATTATTGAGTAATTAGATTCTACCTTAATGTAGGACACTACAGGTTCAAATAGAACCATTTTTATGATCCATCCTATGTGCAGCTAGACAATATGGTGGTTGTGTTGGTGATAATGCAGAAAGAGACAGAATCTAGACAGAAACTAAGACGGTGCCACACAATTGTATTTAATTGCCTGTCGTCTGTTTTCTGTCTATAGACTTTGAACCCACAGCAGTGTCTGACTGGTCATTTGATGAAAATTGTCTATTCTGCTGTTTGAGACGAGACAAAGTAAAGGTAAGAGTTCTTTATTTGGGTTTTGGTGTCTCAGTAGTTCGTTCAGTTGTAAAACTAAAAAGGAGTTTTCTTAATAAATGACTTTATTTTGTAGCCTTAATGCTTTCAAACTAAGTGGCGAACAAGCACGAGATGTGTGATAAAGATCACAATCCACATTTGTGTAATTTAATAAAGCTGAAATTTAAGGAGTGCCCCAGGACTTTTAACAGGAGAAGTGGCTTAGATGATGGATGGATGGATGGATGACTGAATGTTAGGAGTACATTAAATGTGCCTATGCTTTCTAATCCTTAAGGGATTCCTAGCATAATTAGTTGTTGCCTAATTACCTGTGAGGAGAAATCAGTCAGCTGAATAAAAGGGGTGGGTGTGTGTAGTATGTATGCATATATACATCGTGTTTAAGTCTGAAGGTCACTGACTTTAACGGTTTTGTCATTTTATTTGAAAGGAACACTTAATTGGCTTAGGCATCGAGGGGCTTGAAGATACGCACAGACCTCTCCAGGTTAAAGATCAGACTGCAATCAGCAGACTAGAGAAACAAGCAGAGGAATTTCTCAATGCAGTTCTCTGCAGAAAAGGTAAGTCTTGATGTCTCAGTGATGGAGTGGGCTAGTGCATCAGTATTTTGCGTTGTTATGACACTAATGTGCTGAGTACAATGGACCTGCAGACAAGATGGTGGACGCCAAACTTCACTTAGTAAGCTTTTATTTAAATGTTAATGTTCCATGAATTAATTCATATTACCGCAGCTCTTATGGCCTACGGAAAATGACTTTAGTATGTAGGGGGGTTCTTTTGGTTGTTTTACAGGCTGAAAAATATTTGATCAATGTGGTTGTGAATGTTTATAATGACTTATAGCTCCATAAAGGAATGCTGACTTAACAGTTTTTACCTCCATGTATTTTTCCTTTTAGATGTGCCAAATTTCTCGGACCCACACATTCCAGTAGTGGCTCGAGAGATCCTTCAGAGAATGATCCGACAGTTTGCTGCCGAATATACCTCAAAAACCAGCTCTCCTCAGGAAAGTTGCTCAAGTTCCCAGCCTCCCCCTGACCAAAGCCTGTCGACCCCCCCCTTGCTCTCAGGGGCTCCTCCTTCTACCAGCCCTGCTGCCACCCTGGCTGGGCCTGCACACAACCCTGTCCTCAGCAAGCTCCTCATGGCTGACCAGGATGCTCCTCTTGACCTCACCATCAAGAAGCCCCTGGCTGTGCCTAGTGACCAAGGTAGTGTGATTTGAATACTTCTACTAACAGAGCGCTTTATTCAGGACTGAACTAGTGCTGCGGTGATAGGCCAACTTAACATTAAATCTAAATGGATTGTTTGTTCTAATTGTGATTTTTTTTTTTTTTGTCAGATGGAGTTCTTGACTTATCTATCAAAAAGAATCGCTCTAGCAGCAGCAGCAGCCTGCCTGTCCGTAGTCCCTGCCTTTCTCCAGCCACATCCACCGTCAAAGGGTAAGACAACATTCTTTCTCTTTGTTTCTTTAGTTTCCTGGCCTTAAGCAGTAATGTTTTTGAGGATTTATTTGAGGATTTATTACACTTTAGTTCAGAATGACCACACATTGAATGTGGAATGAATGGAATTTTTAATACATACGGGCTACGTGCAGTGGCATCAATGCATGGGCAATAGCTCAGGCCTGAAATTTGAGTCCTGAAATTGGAGCTCACTCAGCCAGGTGGTGGCTTGATGAAAATGAACAGCAACAAATAGGGTTGTGCTAACAGAAATGTTTTCTGCCACAAAGAAACATGGAAAGGGGTTTCACCAACTGTAACAGTGGGAAATCTTCCATGTGCTTCTGCTGTTTTTAAATCTCACTCCAGCATGTCCTTGTAGATGCAGTTTAAATCATGCTGCCATTCAAAATGAATTACCTTGCAGACTTTAAGTTAATGCATTTTTTGACAAACAGGTTACTGGTATTGCCAGCTAGGGACTGAGTGGGCAGCATCTTGTTAGTTTGCGAGGCATTGTGGTTTTAAAGGATTCTGTTAGCTCGGCCTGTTTTTCGTTTCTGTTCATTATTGTCTATCAAAACATTATCATTGACCACTGTATAACAGGTTCCATGTGAAACCGCTCATTGAGGATTGAGGACAAATGCACTATAGAGTAGATGCATCTTACAGAATCTTTAGAGACTTGAGATTCAAGTAGTGCAGTAGCGGCGTTTATTCTTTCACATTTGCGCTTCATTTTTTCTCACCCATGGAAAATTACATTTAGTTGTATTAATATTAAAATGTAAGCCTTGCTTGTATGTCTGTGACAATGCTGGTAACACAAGTAGTTTCCATATCATACATGCTTCTAATAAACATGCCAACCTTTTCTTTAGAGCATAGTCACTGATATGAAGTATTAGAAAATATAACTTTCATTCATCCAAATCAGAGGAATGTACTTCCAACATTCCCTGTAGACAAATTGCCATTTGATTTCATTCTTAATTGAATCAAACATTTGAGGTATCTAAATATGATTTATTATTTTTATTTTATAGTTTTGGTTCTGTTGTGTGAAGCTTCACCGCTATTCTCATCTGGACTTGAATGTGCACATAACTAAAATGTTACTTGGATTAATTAAGCACCAGTGTCTTTGCCTTCTCCTCTTTTGCTATTTTAAAAGAGCTAATAGGATCTAAAAGCACTGATCATTCCCAGCAAAATAAAACCAACTCTGATTTTCATTTTTGAATATATTACACAGAATGCACACTGTCCTGTTTGATAAAAATGAAAAATATCTACATTTAAGGTCTATAGAGTAATAACTTTAGAAAAAACGAATTATTATTATTTTTGGTTTGAATATATTGATGACCCTAAAGTAATGACAGCTCTGATCTAACTACCAGATGTATTGTGCAAATCCTTCTCCTTTATGAATCACACTTAAGTTAGTCAGTTAGGTTTTGAGACACACATCAACCCAATGCTGGCTTACTCTTTTATTGCTGTGCTTGTTCAGTGGTAACGTCAAACACACACAATGTCAAGAGGTTTATTTGCATTAGTCATTTTGTATGGCATGCTAAGCATGGCATTGTTATTATGCCATGCTTAGCAGCTACATGCCAAGCTTCCTAACTGCAATGACAAATAATCCCTCCTTCTGGCTAAGCCTTTTGAGCCACAGGAAGACCTTTATGTACTCCAATAAATGCCTTTTTCTTTGCTTTTTCTTTTCATTGTTTCGTTGACCTTTCTTTTTGTTTTGTTTCTTATTTTTTATGTTGATGTAAATTTTGTAAACATGCATCACAGCAAGCAAATAAAAAATGTCAAACTTGAGCCTTTTTTGTTCTTAAAAATCACACACACTACAACACAGTTATTCTAAAAGATAGTGATGTTACCAAAGCAAGGTCATATAATAAAGGAGTGGCCAACATCTTCCCCTCCCCAACCCATCCTCCTTTTAGAAAAGAGAAAAAAGGCACTGTGCAAGCTCTGCTTACACCCAATTTCCTTCCATTCAATCAGGCGATCGTTGAGAGCGGATGGACAAGTCGGGCTGTTTATGAGGAGCCTACAGGATGGGAGGAGGAGGGAGAATATCGGCCACTCCACCTGTTATAAGCCTTCCTCATCCCTTGCATACTCGCTGCACATCAAAGAGGAGGCGGATCTGGAGAGCGATCCAGAGTCACCTCTCAGCTATAACCACAGCTCCAGACCCACTGACCTTTTCAGAAATGGATCTGCCTCATGGAATTCCAAAACTCGTTTTGGGGCCCTCCTCAAACTCAAAACCAATAGTGAGGCTAGCGAGCGCCTCAAAGACATACCCAGGTTGTTGGAAGCCGCTGGACTTTTGACAAAGTCACTTGCCTATGAGAAAGGAAACCTCCAGGAGGCCTGCAGGGACCACAGCCTCTCTCTTTCTCATTTACCATCTTTTGACCTCAAGATTCCCCAGGTGCGAACTTTGTCCACTGGAACAGACCCGTCTTGGGATTCCCTGTCCACCGAGTATTCAGGTTCAATTAGTGAGAACGGCCTGGGAAAAATACTTCATTCCGTTCTACCAAGGCAGATCCAGAAGAAGAGCAGTGGAGGCTTCAGTAGTTCAGGTTCCGAGAAGGAATACTGGCCTCACGACGCTGGCCGTAAGGCCTTGGGGGGAAACTATGCACTGGATTCAGAGTCAGACCTAGGTAACAAGCAGCCAAGGAAGAAACGCGGGCGATATCGACAGTACAACACTGAGCTGCTCGAAGAGGCTATTGTTGTGGTGATGGGTGGGAAAATGAGTGTGTCTAAAGCCCAAACAATCTATGGCATTCCACACAGCACCCTGGAATACAAAGTTAAAGAGCGACTGGGGACCTTGAAACATCCCCCCAAAAAGAAACTGAAGTTGGCAAGCCAGATAGATGAACAGGGTGTTTCACGGTCCCCCGAGAAGAAAGAACTCCAAAACTCCCAGCACATTGTGTCTGAGAAAAGAGAGATTGCATCTGAAGATAATGGGAGTGATTTCCATGATGGAAGCCTCTGATAATTGAGTGATAAAACGTACTAATACTAAAGTACTTTTTTACCAGACAGATTTTGCATTTGCCAGACAGTGGTAGTAGCTTACTTTTTTCCCCATAAAACCTAGTTGTGTCCAACATTTAAACTGAAATGCCCATCTTTATTATTAATTTTTAGATTTTGCCCCTCCCTTTTGGTAATTTACACATTTAATATATTTGTGTATGGCTATCTAGCTTAAACACTCAAAGTGTCTCCCTGCCCTATGTATTGTGCCTAGAAGGCATACTTGCTATTTGTTGAGGATTGTAATATACTATAGTATAATGTTAACTCATTTCAGTTTATTTATTTAGGTTATGTTTTGAAAAGGATCATTTCTGGCTCTATAAATGTATTCTTTACACACAGAGCCATTTTGAGTCATGTCTAAGAAAGTGGCGCCCCTCAGTGTCCCCTCTCAGTACTGTTCAGAGCACTTATATACTACGTTAAAAGTGAATATATAGTTAATTCTGTGTGCATGTTGTGTAGGCCAATTTAAGTATACAAAATGTTTATGGATGACAGTGAAAGTCTCTGTCACTGTTTTGCAAATGCACTTCTATGAAATGGACACTGGAGATTAGTATGTCCCAACGCTACTATATTGAAAATATTTATAAATTACAAACACTATTGTGCAAAAATATTTATTGTTGTAGTCGGTAGAAATGGCATGGTGTGTGAATTTAACTTTCCTTTCAATCCAAATTAAGCTTATCTTCACAAGCATGGCAGATTTTTGTCACCTATATTTTATATTTTTTGCTGTGCTATAAGAATAGTTTTAGGGTTTTTTTTTCTCATTGCCTTCAGTGCACTCAGGATGAATTCAGATTGGGGTGCAGCACTTGTCAGTCAAATAAAATGTCTCTTATCAGGTAATGGATTACTGTACACACATAAATATACCTCAGCTACAGATATGTTAAACTAAATCATTGCCTCATAAGTCACCTCTAACAGGGAAGGATAACCTACCCAAAACCCCTTTTGAGGATGTCTCACTGACAAGTATTTGTGCTCTACTCTCAGATGTCTTCACAGCCTACCTTAACTAACTTAACCAGTAGCATTTCAGTGCCAGTTTAATCTTTCAGAGCATTTTTTCTGTTCTGTGTGATTTAGGGCTCGTCTTTTTTTTTTAATTTCCAAGTTTTATCTCTGGAAGTTTCTTAAGACATGAGAAAGGATTTTTTTTTTTTACTTTTGATTATTAAAATAATTCAAACACACACACATCTTGCTTGCACATGATGGTAAAGAATTGTCTCTTAAGGTTTTCAATTAATAACACTGACACTGGTTTTGAGGATGATACTCTGTTGTAGCAAACTAATTAATTATTCATTCACAAATAGTGCACTGGCTAAACTCTTGGAATCAGATATCCTAACTATCTAAAATACATTCAGGTATTTTTAAAATGTTTACTTCATGTTCACAAGTCTAAATAAGATCTATTATTTTTATTGTATAAAAAACCCCAGAACTTTATCAAGCAATATTATCAGATGGAACCTAACATACTGGCTGACTGTACTACCTTGCTAACATTTGCTAGCTAGCCAACTTCGCTACAGTTACAATCATGGTTCAGTCCACACCCGCCGCCTTCTCAAGTTACTAAGGCAAAAATTCAATAAATAAAAAGTTAGGAAACAAGAGAAAAAAAAAATATTGAATATAAAATATTATCTCATTCCACTTAGATTTGACTAATCTTTATTAGGTCGGATTACCTTTTGTGCAGGTAAAGACAAGCCCAACTTAATGTGTGTTTTTTTTTTTAATTTATTTATTTTTGCAACAGCGGGGTTTATAGTTTGTAGTTCATTGCAAATGAATGGGTGGGTCTTTAAAACCTTTAAAGAAGGCCTGATACCTTAATATGTGCCATTTTCATTGCGTTCTTGCCTGGTGGACTGACTGAGCCACATCCATTAATTTGCTTATCAGTACACCTCATTGTGCATTATTACTATTACCTCAGGACATTCATGAATAATGGATCATGGACCATTATTCTTTTATTAAGTTAATTCACAGCTCTAGCAAATATTGCAGGCTTTTAGATGTACACCATGTTGCTTCGATGAACGTGGATGTTTTTTTTTAATTTAAGAAATGATTCCTGAGCATTTAACTCAGATATTATATCTGCGGTCATATTACATACAATTGCCTAGATTGTAAACATTTTTAAGTGACAGTTCAGGTACGTGCACACTTGTCAGTTAATAGATCTGTAACAAGAGTATAACTTTATATTGCATGATAAACTTGCTGACTCTTGTTGGCATTCTCTTATTTTCAACCATTTCTTGCTCTATTTAGGTGATTTATTTTTATTTTTTTTTTTTTTTATGGTTTGCATTTCCTCTCATGTCAAGGTAAATTATTTTTAGTCACTGATTTAACCACTCTAAAAACACTCATAATTCTTACACATATTCACAAAAGGTCAGAATAACTGCAAAAACGAAGCAGTTGCTTCAAGTACACATGTACAATTTAAGTAAAATCTAGTCACTGATTCGCTATAATTAATTCATTTAATTCTTCTTGCATTAACGATCATCCAGCATTACTCAAACTGTTTAATGCATTCTAATATATTAAAGACATACAAGATGTTTTTGTTTGACACGTAAGCATGTTTTTGCTCTCCTCCATTGTCTATTGTAGCAATTTTAATGTTTGACTACCTCATCTGGAAATTCTATTAATATCACAGTCTACTGTTCTCGTAGCTGTTTTATGTAGCAGTTTCTCTTGTACACAACCCACAGTTTTACAGAAAGAGCAGTCATAAAGGTGTTTTATAAGACATAAAAAAATCTGTTTAACCACATGTAAATATTTCAGTGTATCCTTTTTCCTAATTGCATCCTGATATATTTAATGTTTTCTTTATCTCAATTTTTTTTCTTTTTGTGGTGGGGAGGTAGCTCTTTAGGGAGCTTGTTGTTCTGACAGTTGTGTCAAAAGCATTTCTGATTATCTCCTGCTTCGGAGAAACCTTTTTGTTCCTAAAGTAGAGGAAGAGTTTACTTCCCCTTATATACGTAATCAGATTGATGTGTTTTGGAGTTATTTTGTTAATGCAATATTTATTAATCAATATTTATTTCCTTAATTATTTTATCACTGAAGAACGTTACATGAATGTAAATGGCTTTAACAAAAGTAAAAGTTACTCACAAGTGTTTATAGACATAAATGGATAATGTGTAAAAGGTATATTTAACTGTCTTTCATGATAGATGTGAAGAAATACCCTTTACGATTGTCCCACTTTGTTCCTCCACAAGTTGGGTATCTTGCTTAGTAAAAAAAAAAAAATCTGAGGACAAACAGCTTTACACAACTGCAAATGCTGTGGCTCTTCAAATGACTAAAGAGTATCCCTGTCCATGAAATATATGTACAAAGTTTGTATATTTGATTTGACATTTACAGTGTATAAAGGAATGACACTGGGTATAGTTTGCATGATTGGACTAAATCATATGTGTCAGTAAGAAGTTAGTTGTATATGGTGAAGTTTATCTTTTAAGGGTGTTTTTATTAATACTGGAGTGTTGGTGTGTTTACTGTCAACAATGTATCAAGTAGATTAACTTGACCTGAAATATCGCTAAATCAGTTCAGAGTCTGGTTAATGGTTCACTGAAGATGTATGCTAAAATCTCCCATATGGTAGTTCATAATTCGCCAGATTATTTGTATCCCTAATGGACAGCATATTAACATTGTGGATGAGTTAACACAGCCATGATTGTGTGCTTGTGAAGTATTGTGGAGTTGAGTTGTAATTTGGTTTAATTCTGCTTGTTAGATTAGATTTAGTCATCTGGAGGAGAGAGGCTATGTACTTTGTGTCAGTTTGTTACTGCGATGCTAAGTGCAACAGGGAGCAAAACCCTCAGGGATAAAACACTTGCCACTCATTATTCAGGTAATTCACTTCACTCCTTAGACCTTGCAAGCAGGGATGTGAAGTTAATGATCTTAGCAAAAAAGAAAAATTGATCGGGTTGCAGCAAATGTTATTTTTTTAATCTCTAAAATTAATTTTTTAATCTTTTAAAAGTTACATTTGAGATATTTTGGCATGCTGTACAACATTTTGTGTTTGGAGCCAACGAAACCTTAGTACATCTTTTCACTGTTTTATTATTTTTTTCTTTGTTACAAGATGAATGTTAATATAAACTTAGAGTACAGGTAAGATGTTGACCAATGCTATTTGATTAACACGTTTCTTTCTAGTTCAGTACCTCAAACAGCACTTATTTAATTTTAAAAAACACACACCTTGATTTAACATTCTAAAACAGAATTTCTGAAGATATCAACAAAAAGTCCCAAGACTCTTCTCACTTACTGTACATGTAGCACCCACTCCTCCCACCTTTGAGGTGGTGGGAGTAGGTGCTGCATGTATTTACAGGTTACAGATTTAAATCAGGAAGGTTATAACCGTCCTGATTTAACATTTTCAACAAAGTAAAAACTCACATTCAAACTACCTACTTGATCCATGATATTTAACTTTGCAATATAGCTTGAAACACAGAGTAGATGCTACGTAGCAAGCTTAACACTAGATATTCCACTGTCTTTGCTGTTGCTCAAAGGAGGCAACGTCAAAAGATTTAGATTTCACCTTCACTTATATTAGTAGAATGGTACTGTATTTGGCAGTGCAGATTATTTACAGTTGCATACAAACATATATATATTTTTTGTTTAATTTGTTTTAAACTGCCATTAGTCAACACAGTATCAGAATTTTATTTTTGACTACAAGCTATTTCCCTCTTGATTACACATCATGACGTTGTGACATGTCACCTCAGGAATCCAGATGTGGTTTCATTTGTATGTTCATAAGGCATAAGATAAATATATTTTTGGCGTAATGTGATGGTATAAATGCTCCAAAGGTAGCGGAGGATTTTGTAATAGACCTACCTCACTGACAAAACTAAAGCCAAAAATACAGAAACATGGCCCCCTAGTTGACATTATTTTGTTTGCATTAGTACAAACAAAACCACACAGGTTTTAGAATAACTAATTTTGCATATGTTGAGTCACGCTTGATCTTTCTTTTACTGGTTAGGTTGTCTTAAATTGTTGAGCACTTGTATCTAAATGTCACCTTTGCACTAGCCATACATGAAAACTTGACAAAAAATATGTACTCTATATTCCCTTCTATGTATTTGCTCTTTCAAGTGGTAACCATGTCTTTGACTTGTTTTAATCAATATGGGCCACCATTACTAAATGTGTAGTGCATGTGTGACATTTTCTTGATGTATACTATAACAAAAAGTACCACTGTACAAAGAATAAAAATGTAATAGCTGTAACAACGTAATTGGTCAAATTCACTGGATGAAATATTCACTTTTAAAATCACCTATTCTTCTAATAAATATGCAGTGATAAATCATTGTAATACATTTGTGAATTATTTCAAGTAAATATTCAGCTCTACCACTTCACTGTATTAGGTACATTTTACTGCTTGAATGTAACAATCAAATACCAGTCAATAGTATGAACCACTGTTGATGTGCATTTACATGTATTTTGTTCTCTTTCCCCTCAGTGAGTCTCCACACTTGGGTGTTGCAAAGGCAAAAGACCTGCAGTCCACGTCCACACTGGAACAGTTCATGGCCAAACTCTGTCCCCACCACCAGAGACAGATAGTAGATGCCATAGGTTTTCTACAGACTGAGGTCAAAGCACTGGCATCTTCCAATACACAGCAAGACTCTACCTCGACCTCTGGGATCCAGGGAACTGCTTGTTCCACTGCAAAATCCAGCGCAGTCACGCCTGAGAAGTCATGCCCTGAGCTAAGGTTTCCCAATGAACCTACTCCCAAGTCAGAAGTCCAGGATATGTCCCATTTTATCCCAAGTAGCTGTGCAATGAAAAAAGTTCCAGAGAAAATATCTGTTACTGTTAGCCCTGCTTTGGATCTTCGCAGCCCTGGGTCAGGGACTAACCAGGCTTTGGTCAACCCCACTGCTAGTCCAGCAGATGCAGAGAACCGTCATGGTGATCATGCACCTCTTAAGATGAAAATCATGACCAGCAACGTTGCTGCTGGTAAGAAGCTGTCATGTGTGCTCAACGCCAACATTTCACTTCACCCTGAAACTGTGGAGGAAAGAGAGGGTAACTCAAATTCATCCAACAGAACAGAGGCTCACAGTGCTAGACTCTCCTCTGTGAAAAGACAAAATCAAGCTAGTCACACACATCAAGCTAGGCAGAGAGACACTCTCGGGCATGCCAAAGATACACCAGCAAAAGTGTTTTCAGTCCACATGACCATTCCTTCAGACTCTCCACGGACTGCCAGAAAGACTATCAAGGCATCCTCTGATCATCGGATCCGGGACTCTGCTTGTAGGGGAATGGTTGACCCTGATCTCGGCCACTGTGATATTGTTTTTATTGACAAACCAATCACTGAGTGTTTTAAGGAGCAGCAGCGTAGCATGCTCCCACGTCGCAATGCACGAAAAAGCACCAGAGGGCATATGTATTCAGATGAAATCTGGGAGTTAAAAACTGTCCGTACATTGGCTGGGAGGGGCAACTGTCCCAATCCAATGCCAGAGTTGATCACATTGGTCACCCCAAAACAAATGCTTTCAAAGCCTGAAGGAGTACCACTTGTGGATATGCCTTTTGTCGGAGCATGCAGGGAGACCATGAATCAACAAATGTCCACAGAAGAGTCAGATGAGAATGTGGTACCAGGAACAGGAGATGTGGTGGAGGAAGCAGCCAGTGAAGTAGATGTTATAGTTGAAACTAGTCAGACAGATCAGTGTCAGAGCAAGGGGCAGTCTGTTCTTCCGTCTCCCATAAGGTACCCAACAGAGAACAAAGAAACAGATATGAACACAGATGTAGAACAGGATACTGCAGATACAGGGACACCAGCAGGAAGTGAAGAAAGTGTTGCTCAGGCTCCATTTGAAGCAGAAAAAGATAAAGCGCCTGAGGACATATGTGAAAGTGCCGAGCAAATAGTCGCAGAAACAGCTGAGGAACCATTAGAGAATATTACTGTAGAAGGTGGTGAGCCCCAGCTTTCATCAGATAAACTGCTCAACAGTGAACCTGTTCTCCAACAGAATAGCTCCCCATCACCGGTGAATCAAGTTGATGAAAGTAGAGAGGAAAATATAAGGGAGGAAATACACGATGAGCAACCTCAGGAACTTCAAACACAGATGCACAATGGTAACTTTGAAGTGCCAGAAAACTCAAATACCACAGGTTCAGCAGGGGAGAAAGAGAGAGAGCCAGAAATAAAAACATCTGAAGCAGTTGACCCTATTATGCCTTTAGAGACAGAAGATGATGATGATGACTATGACTTGTCCTCTAAGACACTTGACGCACTCTTGAAGGAATTACCCCCTTGGCGTAGAAAAAGAGGTACTGTAATTTCGCTGCCAAAGCGGTTAAGACAAACCCAATCACAGGTAGTGGGTTATGTTAATGGTAGACCCGTATCAGCCTCGGACAGAAGTCTGCGGCGCAGGTCAAGTAACAGCACCACGTCACCTAATAACACCCCTGTAAAATCTAGTCAGAATGTATCCAATAAGACTTCTCTTGATTCAGCTGTTGATACGACTTTTGAAAAAAACTATTTGGAGAATCTTCTACCTGAAACACACATGCCTGTAAAATCTAATGAGACTACTCCTGTGATTCAGCAGATGAAAGAGCCATCTTCTGCCACAGTTGAGACTACTCCTGTGATTCAGCAGGTGAAAGAGCCATCTTCACCATCAAGGCCAACATCTAAATTTCCCGCAAGGACCAAACAAATCCAGAAACAAAAGAGAGTTCAGAGAGATCAGGGTGGTTTGCCTGTCGTCTCTGATGATCTTCAGAATACTGAGCCCAAACGGCAACTTAGATCAGCCGGCCAGAGGCCAGCTGGAACTCCAGCATCACCACCCAGATCAAATGCTGTCACTTATATTTCATCTCCAAAACCTACTGCTATCCATGTTCTTCCATCTACAGAGCACCTCCCCTCCCTCCCCCTTCCTTCTCCGTCCCCTGTTACCTCTTCTCCTCTAATCATGTCATCTCCCCATTCATCCTCTGCACAGCCCCAACAGAACACAGTCCCAGAGACAACCGTGGAGTTAAACATTGGAAATACTCAGCCAGTAAAGACCACCTCTGAAGAAACACAAAAAGGGGATAGTAGATTGCAGGCCAAACAGAAACTAAGGTCTGCAAAGGCTTTAGTAGATGACAGTAAGAATGAAAAACAGCAACTTAGCGGTGAGGAATCAAGTCCATTAGAAAATCAAAGTCCTGTAAAAACTGAAATGCAAACACAGGTTATCCCATTAAGAAGTAAGCGGGTTCTCCGAAAGGAGGCAGAAGCAAGTGATGTTGCTTTGCCACAGAAGCCAAATGTAGCGTCTTCAGTAGACAGGTCTGCAAGTGGAGATGACAGCAGTTCTTCCATATCAGACAAACCCACAAGAATGCCATTAAGGAGTGAAAGCAGTAAGCCTGAAATGTGCCACCAGTCTGTTACTCAGTCAACCCCAGTGGACAGCAAGAAACTAGCTTTGAGATCACAGAGATTCGCTGCACCTTCTACCAGCACTCATACTACAGCTGGAAGACAGAGTGATGTAGCTTCCCCTATCAGAATAAAGCCAGAAAGAATAACTAAAGCTCAGGTGAAGGCCCCTCCAGTGTCTGTTGCATCGGTGTTGCCCCACAGCTCAGCCATCCCCATCATTACACCAAGATCTGAGCCCCCAAAACAAACTAACAAATTTTTGGAGACCTTGACTGCAGAAGAAAACCAGCAACTAATTACAAATCTGAACATTAAGTATGATAAAATGCAAAAAGGTTGGTTGCAAATGGACAAAGATGGTCAGCCAGTGACAAAATACAAAAATAAAGCAGACAGGCAGGCAGCGATATGGAAAAGTAAACGCAGGGCGCGGAAAACAAAGTCTTTAGAGCACCAGAAATACTCACCAGTCCAAATGCTCTTCATGAAAGGTTTTAATCTCACCAGTATCTGTCGTTGGTTCCTTGAAACAACAGAAACAAAGTCCCTTGTCATTGTCAAGAAGGTGAATACACGTCTTCCATCAGAAACTCAGCTGTGCTTCCACAGCTCATCTAGTGCTTCAGGGACATCTCAGGGGGTATTTCCAAGCCTACAGGCAGAGCGCTTAAAGAAACATTTGAAAAAGTTTGCCATCGCCTCTCCTGTAAAGAGCAACCCCAAAAGTCAGAAACTGATTGCTAAAGCACTGGAGCAAGAGGCAACTGCAGTCAAAGGGAAAGAGAGGAGAGAACTTCCCAGTACTACTGAGACGTTGACTGAGTCACACTCCTCTGCCGCAGCCCGTGCACAGATAGGTGAATCCCAGAAATCCTCTGGTAAGTCAAAGAATCCAGCAAGTGCAAGGATCTTGAGGAAATACTCTAATATTCGAGAGAAGATGCAGGGTCAGCAAACCAATGTTAGACTGAAAGAGGAGAAAAGACTGGTTACTACAAAGTCTGCCGCTAAGTCAAACTTGAAGCAATCTCTAAAGGCACAGAAATCAGCACTAACGGTCAGTAAACGAATGAAAGAGTCCGCAGCAAAAATGGAAAGAAGGAAAACATTGTCTGGAAAATCTACAAAGCATCCTGTTCAACAGAGGGCAGTCAAGGCTCAGGGCAGTAGTAGACCTTCAAGAGATACACCTAAAAAAGAGTTGCCAAAGAGATGTTCTCAACGACTGGGGTCACCTAAAATATCTGAACACAATTCTGTCGACACACTTAAAAGCAAGGTCGAGAATAAAAAACAAATGGAAGAAGAGAAGGTAGAGGTGGATAAACCTGCTGTGAATAAAGTGAATGCTGCAAAGATCCAAATAACAGAGTCTTCACAAAGCACAGTGGCTGAAATCAAAGGTACCGAGAATGCTGTCGAGACCCCACTGCAGAGCGTGGATGTCAAGGTGCCCGCCTCACCTGACCAGGTATTAACAAGATCCCAGAGAAAAATGGAGGCGGCAGTCCCTTTGAGTGGGAGCCCCAGTCATGCTTCAAAGCGGCCCGCAAAGTCCATGAAAATACAAAATGCATCTCCTAAATCAGTCAGGAAAGCTGAGGAAGCCACTCTGACAAGAAGTGGGGCTTTAAAGTCCCCTGCAAAGAGAAGTCGGGCAGCCTCGTTGCCATGCAGTGCAACAAAATCGGCAACCAAGAGAGGGCAGACGCTTTTAGAGGCCCCGGCTAAGCGCACCAGGACATCACTTTTAAAGTAAAATGGACCTGCAGAAAGAGTTTGCGTTTCATGAGGATTTTGTGATTATATTTGATCTGGAATATATTCAGAAGGACCGAAAATATCTATTTTCTACTCTCTGAGAAAACTTCAGAGGAGACCTTTTTCAGGAGGCAAATATGTGAAGAAGGAACAGATTTTTGAAAGTCATTCATTTATGCTTTTGTAAAGCTTCAGTGTGAAAAATGCAAATGTGATGCTGAGCGTTTGCTGTGTTCAGTGACTACAGACATGTCCTACATGATGTCTAGCAGATGTAGTTGCTGTTTGGCTTTATGTTTCAGCACTCTACGAGACGGCTGGAGATAACAATAGCCTATCAAACCTCATTTTAAAAGTTGGGATAACACACATCAAACTTTGATACAATTATCAAGGTCACATTAAATTCACTCATTCTGTTTTGTTTTTTCTCCTTTTCCATTTTGTATATATGTATTGTTTTAGATGATGGCATGCATTTACTGTCCAGAGAGCCTGCTATGAGAAGGGAGCTCATTTTGAATAACATTTTTACTCGCAGCAAGTAGGCAGCTTGTATCTCCAGCCTGTCTTCCAATCGCAACATTGTGAATATGTGACTGTTGTGACCAGGTGCCTTATTTATGAAGTGTAAAGAAATACAATGTAAAATGTGAAAACTCCTGTCCTTTAGTTATAACAGCTTTCAATTCCTGGAGAGGCAGTCGACATTCATTTTGCTTCACTAAGTGTGTGCACATTGTTTCCGTTCCGCACAGTATGTGCCTCGTACTTCATCTGTAAATTCTTATGTTGACTGAGGCGTTTTGATTTTCTTATTTACTCTCACCTTACAGGTTTATTTTCAGAAGCCCATTTCCCCAGAGCATTAACATGAAATTGTTATTATAGTTGTATTAGATGATAAAGCAAATACAAGCCTGAATTGTTAAAACAGACAGTCGTGATCTGTATGTGTCATGACAAAAGTTTGTATTTTTTATGTTATGGGTCAGTTTTCCTTACCGTGTACCTCAGCAGTCACTTCTGACCTTTGCACCCATTGTTGTTTGCTCATAATAGTGACTTCAATTTGAGTATTTTACCTGCTTCTGCAGCATGTAAGTCTTGTTAATGTGGAGACAGTTTCTGCAACTCTTGCATTAGAGATGTTACCCATAACTATATTTATGCCCCTGATCTTTGAAAATACTAACCCCATTCAAGACTATGTATGCACATTTAGTGTCTGTCAAAAACCTGCACTGAAAAACCATCTGAGAAGACTTTGGGATATGCGCGTGTGTATCACTCGGTTAACAAATTCCAGACAGCAAAGGCTTGAAAAGTATATGTGTATTTGGTTGATTTAATATGAAACTGTATGGCATCATTAGCATTAATGGCACATTGCAGGGTGATAAATTCCTTCCCTGATTATTCACAAGTTGGATATGAAGTTTTTGGGGTAGTCCAGTCACACTTCTGAGTTGTGTATCCGTGTATGTTGCAGTTTTATTATGTTGTTTTTTATTGTCATTGACTGTCAGGCAGATGTTCTCATAATGTGAAGTTTCTTAACTTCCACAGTAGTAATTTACATTAGTGTATTGTCAATTGTCATTTTTAGCACAGTGTTAATTTTTTTTTTATTATGGTAATTTCTCTCTAGAGGGTAAATCATCTGTAAATGTAAAGCATGTCCGTCATGTTTTTATTGTTATTTAAGAACTCCATGTAGGCTAATGAATTTAGCAAATCTAAAACAGCCCACCAAATATCCGACTTGAACATGTTTATTCTTTACAGTTGCTATTTAAAGATTTTGATTTTGTATATTAGAAAGAAATAACTGCTTTATTTGTGGTAATCTCAAGAATGATACATCTTTATGTTAAAAACTTTGTATTTTTGCTGGAGTTGATATAAAGATGTTTGAATTTTATATTTGGTTTCTTCGCTCATTTATACAAGTGCTTTAATGTTATTTACCCAGACAAAGTTGAACTACCATTTTGTAGAAGGATCCAACACGGTCTTGTTATTACAAAGGAAGTGAACCAATTGGCAAAGTGAAAACTAAAGTACTCCGCATGCTTGAAAGGAACTACGTTGTACATTTCAATACAAAAGCCGTAGTTGCCTCCTGGCATGCCAGTGCCTCTGAGGGGAACATATCAATATACATGCACACCAGTACCTCAGATACCTCACAAGCGCTGACAAGACCTCTGCTCTCTCCACCTACAATTTCCATAGACTTAAAATGGTTACGCATGTGGCGTAGACAGTGTGTGTTTCATTTGGTATGCAAGCCCAAGCTGCCAAATTACTCATTTTGTTAAGAAAACGCTGTAAAAACCTGCATACCTAAGGTCAGGACGCTGCGTTTTACGCCATGAATTGCCATTAAAAACCTGTAAAAACGCACCTCTTTTTATGGCGCTCTAATGAGGTACAGTAAAACGATGGCTTCTGAAACCAGAATGAAGAATCAATCTTATCGCTCATAGAACCACCTGTAGCTACATAACGCTGCAGACATTTTCTTGGCTTGACTCTTGCTGTGTTGCTGTCACACCTCTCCTTGGGCTCATCTGAAGACCATGCTCAACCACCTGTAGTGTTGCAAGCCAGTGTTCTGGCCTATTGCAAAGTGCCTTCACTACACAAGCAGTGGACTGAAGCTGCATCAGTTGCAGACAGCCTTCTACTGTTACTCATCCTCGATCTGGTAAGTAAGTACATTCTTTGTATCTTTCCCACATGCAGTGTGTGGGGATGAGGTATTTCCACCAAATACAGTAAAATAAGAATAAAAGCAACACAAGGCTACATTAGATAGACAAGACAGAGACCAGTGAGCTAGGTGCATTGGGGCAGGCTGTTAGTGTGGTGGTGTTGGCTTGAATGATGCTCTATTCTACCCTTCTTCCACAGGGAAGAAGAGCGCATGGGAAAGACGGCAGAAGCCTCCCTTAATCATGAGTCTCCAACCTCTTTGAGAGTGAGGTCTACCTAAGGGAGGAAATTGTCGTTGGGTCTTAAATTGATGCTTTTAGTAGAAAAACAGCGTCAAGCATTTTCAGCATTAGTAATTTTCATATAGCTACTGCGTTGAACCTCAGGACATGTAATAAAGGCTAGTCTCTATTCTTTTTTTGATTAATAACATTTCAGTATTGAATCAATGCGTGGTAATGTGATTTGAACTTTAGTCACCTCTGTCTTGTCCACGTTAAGAATAACAGAGTATCTCCGCCAAACCTGCTTCTACACCTTCACCTGAGGTTCTTTCTGGTTAACTAGGTTAGGTGGAGTGCAAGTGCCGTTTCAGGCATTGTTCGACGATCCGATAAGCACCTCATTTGAATCATACCTTTTAATACCCTAGTGCACAAATATTTACTGCCATTCATGAGAGCTAGGCAGTTGAGGAACCTGTGCTCCTGGTTGACTGTGCCCTCGTGGCAAGCCTGCCAGCTTTGTGAAAAGCTTTAGTGCAGCCAATGAAGGCATTTCACATGGTAGGGACCTGCCATGACCTGCCATACGGCTCATGGGCAAGAGTCCTGAGCACCACAGGAATCTCCCACTGTGGGACAGATTGGTAAACAGTTGGCCTCCGTCACCTCAGTCCCTGCAGAAAACAGTGTGAACAAACAACGACTTCTCACCAAAATCAACACAAGAGGAAATTTCACATAAATGGTGAAATGCAAATTATAGTTGGTAGTTCTCCAAATGAATGAAGTTAATTTGAAAACTACTAATTATAATATACATATTATAATGAGTACTTTTCCAAATGGACTATGGTGTATATTATAATTAGTATTTTCCAAATGGATTCTGGTTTATATTATAAGTGCTTTTCCTAATGGACTTTGGTGTATGTTGTTATTATTAGTTTTCCAAATGGACTCTGGTGTATGTTTATAATTGGTAGTGTTCTAAATGGGGTCTGGTGTATATTATAATTAGCACCTTTCCAAATGGACTCTGGTGTATGTTGTTAGTAATTTTCCAAATGGACGCTGGTGTATTTTTTAATCGGTGGTTTTCCAAATGGACTCTGGTGTATATTATAATTAGTAATTTACCAAATGGTGTATATTATAATTGGTAGTTTTCTAAATGGACTCTGGTGTATATTATAATTAGTACCTTTCCAAATGGACTCTGGTATATATTTGGTGTATATTATACTTAGTAGTTTTCCAAATGGAATTTGGTGTCTATTATAATGAGTAGTTTACCAAAGGGAGTCTTGCGTATATTATAATTGGTAGTTTTCCATATGGACTCTGGTGTATATTATATTTAGTAGTTTTCAAATGGAGTCTGGTGTATATTATAATTAGTTGTTTTGCAAATGGAATCTTGTGTAAATTATAATTGGTAATTTTCTAAATGGGAATTTCGTGAGAACCATCTTTAAAACACTGCCATGTAACTAATCTCACTAGGGGCCTCTAGCCTCTTGGGTATGGGGTCAATGGAAGGTAAATGTGTGTGATGCTTTAGCATATGTCCAGAGGGGTCATGACTTTAAGTGTCTTTCTATAGATCCAGATTGAGTGTTCACTAGGGAACACTGAAAGACACCATGTTCCTTTGATGAGATAGTACTCTGACCCTGAGACTAAGATAAAAGCTGCATGAGCTGTTACACTGCAGCTCACTCGGATGATACTCTCTGATGTGTATGTGTCCCTATGAGTTCCTTCTGCAGAAGACTTGAATAAAATTCACGGAAAGACAAGTGTTTGCCTGAGCTGTTTATTTAAACACACTTTTCCCACCACAGGAATCTGGTGTATATTATAATTGGTAGTTGTCCAAATGTAATCGGGTCTATATTATAATTAGTAATTTACCAAATGGTGTATATTATAGTTATAATATACATCAGTCCCTTTGGAAAATTACTAGTTAGTAGTTTTCCATATGGAATTTGGTGTATATTATAATGAGTAGTTTACCAAAGAGAGTCTTGTGTATATTATAATTGGTAGTTTTCCAAATGGAGTCTGGTGTATTTTTTTAATCAGTGGTTTTCCAAATGGACTCTGGTGTATATTATATTTAGTAGTTTTCCAATTGAACTCTGGTCTTTATTATAATGAGTAGTTTTCCAAATGGACTGTGGTGTATATTATAATTAGTATTTCTCCCGATGGACTCAGTTTTGAAATGGAGTCTGATGTATAAATACAATGTAAAAATATAAAATAGCTTGCAACATGAAATGGCAAAGAACCAATGAAAGTGTTTTGAGAGGGTTTATTTGCAATTTCAAGTAAGAATAAACAAGCTGATGATAAAAAGACTCCAACATGTGCAGCACCAGTCAGTAACTTTAACAACTTCTTGTCACAGTTTCTATTTAGCCAAATATTCCCTTGGGAAATTTTCCCTTTCTCTCCCTGTGAACATGACAAAAGAGAATGAATACTAAATCATGCCAGCATGTGTGCTAATTCAGCAGGGATGATATTACATGAGAAAAGTTGATCTACAGGAGAAACATATGTGAAAGCAACACAGAATGAGAGCTGCACTGTATTATATTCTGTAATACCTATATGATTTTGAATTATCACCTGCCACCTGTTTCCCTTTACATAAAAAAAGAAGACATTTTCATCATAAATTAAAGTAGGAAAGGCAGAATGTCACCAGAATGCAGGAAATTAAGTGTTTAATGCTCAAAAATGGGGGGGGGGGGGGGGTGGCTTTGATGATTTCTATAAAATACTATTATCATCACATCTTCTTCTTGTGACACCAGTATGGTGCATCGTAAGGGCATCGTAAAGCCCTCCCTAGTCTGAGCCCTTACGTCCCCACTACTTTTCAACACAAAGTGACGCCCTTGCATGTCGGTATCTTTCTCTTGTTGCAGTAGATGAATGCACGTTATCTATACAACATGTAAGCTTAAAAAAGACCCCTCTTGCACTGTCTCTGTACATTTGTCTGCTTGCATATCCTTCTCACCTTTTTTTTTTTTTTTTTACCCCTGGCCAGTTTGCATGTCTGTTTATATCTCTATGTTGTGCGATGCCATATTGTCTTTGGAGTCACTGATGATCATTCAAGGTAGTGGTTTACTGGGACACATCATGGGAGTTCCGGTGGAGACATGTAAGATCACCTTCCTTGAAACACACAAGGAAACCAGTCGATCTCTCAGTAGCAAGAATGTGTGGGAGAAGATATTTACTATAATAGTGATTACCCACACTCCCGAACTTGTGTGCTAGACTTGGGCTCCTTTCGGCTGGTTGAAGTGCATCTGTTTGTTTGCCTCATGGCAGAATAGCCGTGCTCCATTCTCCCTGAATTAGCCCGAAAAGCCAACGCTTTGGGCTTGATGTGCTTTCACAGATTCCAGGCCAAGAAAATGGCTTCATTAATTTTCTTTGCTGTAGTGAATTCCTTCTCTCTTGATAAAAATCAGTCAGGACTCAGGAGTGGAATGTAGTGCTCAGTAGTGAATGTAGTAAATTCCCAGCTGACGGCCCATTCCCCAGTTTTGGCAGGGGGGGTTTGTCCCTGATAAACTCCAGACAATAACAAATATGTTACCTTGGAAACAACAGTTGACCAAAAAAATTATCTCACACAAAGCCCATTTAGTACCTTTTCTGGAGCTTCCGGTCATATCACAATTATGTACTTTGCCCACTTGGGATTGTATGTTTCTCTGTGTTGGGTTAAACATTTTAGGCTTTTAAGTTTTGTCAAATGACAAAGAAAGCATCAAATAAAAGGGGAAAAAAGACAACACATTCTTAAAAGCACACACATTTAAGTTTAATTAATGAAAAAGAGTGGAGGTTTGGTAAACATTTTGTCGGTGGCACTACATACATTCAGCATTATTGGGAGTTTTTCGGTTTAATCCCACCATCAATCCTGTAAGAAAAAAGCAAATAG